GATAAAATTTTAAATACATGCAAACACTTTATTTTAAAATTTTGTTGACTTGTCACGTTAATTAACGGAATTATTTCATTATTTTTTATATAAATAATATTATAAATGAAATGGAAATTACATGTACAATTATAAATGACGTGGATAAAATTTTAAATACATGCAAACACTTTATTTGAATATTGTGTCACTTATACAAATTAAGAATTTTACTTTATTAATTTATGAATTAAATATAATTAACTTTAATTTTTTCATCTTCTTCTTCCTCTTCTTCTTTCTCCTCATCCTTACCCTCCTCTTCTTCTTCAGAATCATCTTCATCATCTTGGGTTCCTTGTGGAACCCAGCACTGGGTTAGCGAGGAACCCAGAGCTAAGTTTCTCACGAACCCAAGTTTGGGTTCTTCTCGAAACCCAGCATTGGGTCTGCGGGAGAACCCAGCACTGGGTTCCACGGGGGAACCCAGATCTGGGTTTCGCGGGAGCCCAGTGTTGGGTTCACAAGGAACCCAGCACGAGGAACCTAGTGCTGGGTTCACAAGGAACCCAGATCTAGGTTCCTCATGAAACCCAGCACTGGGTTAGCGAGGAACCCAGAGCTGGGTTTCGCACAAACCCAGGTCTGGGTTCCTCGTGGAATCCATCTGGGTTCCTCTCGAAACCCAGCATTGGGTCCGCAGGAGAACCTAGCACTGGGTTCCACAGGGGAACCCAGATCTGGGTTTCGCGTGAGCCTAGTGCTGGGTTCTGATTTTTTTTTCTTTTTTATTTTAAGTGTATCTATCCAAAATGAAAATAAATTTTCATATTCAGTTTTCAATTAGAGATGTTAAGTTCAGGTTCATTGCAAAACCCAAATCATGTTTGATGTTTGAGTTTGAAACTACAGGTGATAAGTTCATGTTGTGTTTATGTTGCTATTAACTTCATAATTTGTTTCATTTATGCCCTAGATTTAACTAGAAGAAAGGGTTGAAAATTTGAAATTATCAATTATATTGATCAATCTCACATGTAAAGAGTTGATTATGAATGAAAAATAAGAATTTCGAAAAAAAAGAAGATGATATTCAGAAAGGGAATTGAAAAAAAATGGAAAACTTTAGAATATGGGTCTAATTTTAGGGTTTTTTTTCACGCGTAAGCATTTTTACATTGTGGAATAGCCATGTCACACTCTGAAATTGCCATATCACACTCTAAAATAGTCATGCCAAATGTTTCCGTTAATTAATGTGACAAGTTGGTAAAATTTTAACGGAGGGGTTAAAAAGGGATTGGATTTTAAAATTTAGGGATCAAAAAAGGAATTTTTTCGGTATAGAGATCAAAAAGAGGCTTTTTCTATAATAGAGGGACCAAAAAAAAATATTTAACCTTGTTAAAATGACTGTAGATATATAGAAAAAGGCCAATGTGCTGACGTGACACATCTAATAAATATTGACAATAGTGAAGACATGTAGAAGATGACCAATAAATTGACCTGACACAAGCTATAAATATTGACAACAATCTCGGTGCCGCCAACTTTGAAAAAAATTGTGGTGCACAAAGCAAGCACCTACAACTTTCACAACTCAATTCTTAATTAATAGATTTTTATTCCCACACTTTTCGAAGAGAAAAAGCTTTAGGAAAGAAACATATGAGCCTAATAAAAAGGATCTGTTGTCTTGTTGGACGCAAACTTTTATTAATAATAATAATATTATTATTATTTAAGAATACTTAATCAGCATATTTAAGTCCATGTAAGCTATGTATTAAAAGGTTTCTTGACACATCAACAAATCATGGTCCCCTTAACAGTCTCCGTTAGCCACCTCAGCAATTCACTTCCAAGAAGGCCTTGGACAGTAAGATTAAGAAATTAAACTCCTTAATTAGGAAAATTGAAAGTCCAGCTCCTTGTATGGTAAAAATATGAAAGTTTGACTCCTTAGTAACTAGTTTTGCCAATTTTGGACCGATTAACCCGGTCAAACCACTCAAACCATGAACCGGAGGACAAAATGGCTTGACCTCCGGTTTGGTTTTCAAAACCTTTCATTGAATGGCCAGGGATTACCATCCGGCCAAGTTTTTCTTTGCCCATTAAATGGCTCAACATGCAATCTTGCATGATTTCAACAAAGCAATCTTAGCCCACCACTAGCTAGGTTGGTGAAGCAAATTTCCACACAAAAAGTCCATGGGTTCACACATGGGATTGGACTTTCTTCCAACAAATCACGACCATCTTTTACTTGACAACACTTTTCTTTTTAAAAAATCTTTTCCCAAGAAATTTTGAAAACTTTTCTCATGTATACGTAAGCTTAATAAATTTAAAATAGAAGGGTTTTGATTTGAGGAATTTTAAAGTAAAAAGATTTTTGTTTTAATTTTTTTCCAAAAAGACAAAAATTGAGTTAATCAATGAAAAGAAAACTCTCTTAATCACTTTACCTCACCCTTATCCTTATAAAGTTACAACCAAATCAAGAATTTTTTACCTTCATAGGACATACATTTTAATTTTTAAGTTGCATAATAAATATTCCACTATTTATTGTTTTATATTTCCAATGCATTGAAATTTACATTCATCTGCTGATTTTAATTTCTATTTCTAATTTCGTGGACTTTATTTTTTCAATTTTTTTTAATAATCTGTCTAATAAATATTAGTCATT